TTAGATCAGTCAAGGCTAGCTGAGGCTTTACCTGCTATAGGAAGACACTTGAACTTTGTCTTCTAGGTAATGGGGAGCTAGCCACTGAAGGTTTAGAAGGAATGTATCATATTATCTTCTTTGTTAATGCTTTCATTTCTTCAGCATGTGCGTGCGTGTGCATGTGCGTGTGTGCGTGTGCGTGTGTGCGTGTGCGTGTGTTTGGAGCATGGTGGAGGCTAGTGTTAAGCAGGGGGAGTCATGACAAGCCTCGTTGAAAAGGAAAGACTTAAGCATGTAAGGAAGAACACTCTGGAAAAAGAGGATGGTATGTGCAAAGACTCTGAGGCAGGAATTGCTTAGCATGTGCTCAGGAACAGCTAAAAGGTCAGTGGCTGCCATGAGGCAGGAGAAACGGTATGAGAAGTCAGGTCAGAGGGATGGGACACGGTACAGGCTACAGAGTATGTAGAATGGAAGTATCTAGTTAAGAGCTGATTATAGTAGCATTGGCAATTAAGGAACAATGGGCTAGAGAGATGAGCCCAAAAGTCACTGATATCTACATGACCTGGAACTATGAGACCAAAAGAGATCAGGAGTGGGTGAGCCCAGGTAGAGGAGAGAAAGGACTGAGTCTGAGCACTCTCACATCAAGAGAAGGGGTCAGCTAAGAGATCATGAGGCATGGCTGTGAAAAAAGAGGAGGGCCAGCATCTACATCCTCGAGGTGCCAAAAGAAAACAGCAGACCCCCTTGGCAGGCTCTGAGAGGCAGAGCTGGTATGATGGCTGAGGGGGGGCAAAGGGGGGGGGTAAGTGGGAGGGACCATGTGGGAGTGGCTGGTGTGGTGGCTGGTGGGTAAGTGGGAGGGACCAGGTGGGAGTGGCTGGTGGGTAAGTGGGCGGGACCAGGTGGGAGTAGCCAACTCGGAGGTATTATCATCCCAGCTTTAACCCTGAAGAAGAACGAGGCCCTCAGATCACAGGGCTTAAAAGAGGTGAAAGCCAGAGCCAGACACCTGCCTATCCAGTTTCTCCTCCCAGCAAGTGTCAAGTTGAGGTGCTTTTTGGGGAAGTAGAAGCGTGGTGGTGGCTTTAACAGAGATAGGCAGCACCAGTGAGGTTTGCTATTCCTTTCAGGAAATAAACAAGTTTGTCTTAAAAGGTGTTGACCAGGAGGTAGCTGAGGACAGATGAGGATGTCATCTGAGAGGCCACATAGGCTCTAGGACAGTGACTTCTCAGCCTGTGGGTTGCAATGTCTCAAATGACCTTTTTACTGGATCCTGAATGTCAGATATTTACATTACGGTTCATAAAAGTAGCAAAATTGAAGTTATAAAGTAGCAACAAAAATAATTTTATAGTGGAGGGTCGCTACACCATGGAAAATTGTATTAAAGGGTTGCCGTATTAGGAAGGTTGAGAACCTCTGGCCTAGGAGACTGGAGCTAGTTACTTGGCTTTGGGGCTCCTCAGTGCAGTCTGTAAACAATGACACACAATGACCCAAGGGCTGAGGTTGTGTGCATAGAGTTCAACAGGACAAAGAGAAAAAACGCCAGTGAGACATGCTTGCCAGGAAATGGGGAGACCAGGAAAGAGCCATTTCCAAGAGGTGAGAATACTGAAGCATAAGAATGGCTGACGCCATTTCCCCTGCAGAGTCTGAGAAAGTTCAGGGACTGGGTGGTTGCACGAGGGTGGGGGAGGGGCCGGGCTGGAGGACAGGATGTAAGGAAAGCTTATACACCCAGTTTGCTTCTCCATCTCCTTTCAAAAACAGGCCAGTGCCAGCCTTCCCTATAGAGACCCTCCCCCTCCTTCTCCTCCTTCTCCTCCTCTTCCTCTATTCTTCCTCTTCCCCTTCCCTTTTCTTCCTCCTTTTCTTCTTCTTTTACATGTGTGTGTGCACATGCACATGTTCATGTGTGTGTGTGCAGGTCCCCATGCACGTACGTATGCATGCAAGCCAGAAGACAACCAAGGTGCCATTCCTTAGATACCTTCCATCTTTCTTGGAATAGGGTCTCTTAGTGGCCTAAAGCTCACCAAGTAAGCCTTTCTTCACCTTCCAACCCTGGCATTTTAAGTGCATGCCAGAGTACCTTGTTTAAAAAGAAAGACAAAAAACACTGAACTTCCCCAGACCTGTCAATCTCCACCCCAAAATCCTAGGGCACCCCTTAGTGCTTTCTTATCTCATTTGAACATACTGAAGCAGCCAAGCCCCTAGAGCCACACACATTTGAGAGAATCTTCCAATTCCAGTAACAGAAAACTAATCTGCTTCCGGAAAAGCAGATTTATGTGCATGTTTAACTCGAATGAAAATGAAATGGTAGTTAGAAGGTGGGCGGAATTTCCTCAGGCAACAGTTGTCTCTAGGTGGATGGGATGGAGGCGGATTTTCTCATTATTTGTTTGTATTTTGGGGGCCTTTTGTAAATTACATCCAATACTTTGTGAGAAGAAGGAAAGATGAGTGCATTAGCTACCTTGGAGGAAGCAATCTGAATGGAAAGCATTAGTGCACAGATTTATTACCTCATCTAGGAGTGAGGTGGAAAAAGTATGGAAGTATAGGTAATAGTCCAAGGAAGAGCTGTAACACTGGGTGACCAACCACCCTGAGGTGCCTGCAGTTCCTACTCAGGGCACTTCCTAGGTGAATTGGGACACTTGCTTACCCTTCACTTTGTAATCTGCAATCCCCTGCTAATACCTTTGCTCCTATGTATAGTGGAAAACCGTTAATCCACCAGGGCTCTGGGTAGGTGCATGCATGGCTCTGCACCCACCCAAGAGCTCTGGATTCACAAATGAAACACACACATGCACACACACACACACACACACACACACACCATTTATATTTTGACATGCCTTGACTAGTTCAATGGCTATGAACTTCCAAATGTCCCAATGGCTAGCACACACTCCCCTATGATATTCCTGAGTTAACACTTGCTAAATCTCTATTTTATCTTTGTTGTCTTGTTTCCTTCTGGGGAGGCCTCCCATGGGGCCATTTTTCCCTTTGCACCTACATTGCTGAATGATTTCTGTCCTGTAGCTCTTAAATCTCTCTGCTTCTGCGTCATGGCAATTCTGCCTCATCTCCCTCTACGTCTCTTGCCTGGGAAGCCTAAAAATCCTATCTCTTTCAGTCTGCCCAGCCATTGGCCATTGTTTAGCCAAGAGTTCCCTCTTTGGCCATTGGCTTTTTATTGATTAATCAAAAACCAGGGACCCTCAGAGTCTGAACATGTAGATTGCCATATGATTTTGAGAACCGAATTAAGACAAAGCATTAGAACCAATCCCCAATACCTATGAATCTCACATCACTCTGTAAGGTAGGTAGAGGCGGAAGATGGCCACTGCATCTTTTTCTCTATAATATATGTATGTGTATGTGTGTATATGTATATATGTATATGTATATATACATGCATATATATGTATATACATATGTATATATATACACATACACACACACATCTATATATATGCTAGGGCTGAGAGGTGAAGAAAGGCTTACTTGGTGAGCTTTAGGTCACTAGGAGACCCTATCTCAAAAAAGGTGGATATTATATTAGGAATTATGATGAGGAATGATATTAGATTGTCTTCTGGCTTGTATGTATATATGTGCATGTAGACCTTCACACACATGAACATGTGCATTTGCATGTGCACACACTTTTACATGTGTAGAAGGAGAAAGATGAAAGGAAGAAGAGAGGAGTAGGTAGAGGTAGAGAGTCTGTGTAGGGGTGGCTGATACTGTCCTGACTTTGAAATGAGATGGAGAAATTGGAGAAATAGATACACACATATATTTATATAATATATATTACATATACATTATATATTTTATTGTGTGTGCATTCAGAGATCCAGGGTTGATTGCTATGTACATTTACTTTTTTTAATTTATTTTGAGAGGTGTGTACAAGTGTCACAGTGCATATTGGGAAGGTCAGAGGACAACTTGCAGGACGTTGGTTCTCTCCTTCCCATGTAGATCTGGGGATAGAACCCAGTTTGTAAGTCTTGATGGGTGGCTCATGCCTTTGCTGAACCATCTTGCTGCTCCTCCACCTTTATCTTTTGAGACAGAATCTCTCAGTAAACGTAAGCATCATCAATTCCAGTAGACTGGCTGGCCACAGAGCCTAGGGAACCACCTGTCCCCACTTCTCAGCCCCTGCACCCCACCTCCTTGCCTGCCACCCCAGCACTGGGGTTACACATGTGGACCAGCATGCTGGGTTGGTTTTAAAAGAGAAGAAAAAAATATATATATATATGTATATGTATATGTATATGTATATGTATATGTATATGTATATGTATATGTATATGTATATGTATATGTATATGTATATGTATATGTATATATGGTTCTGGGGATCCAAACTCAGGTCCCTATGCTTATACAACAAACCCATCCACCTAGTCTTAGCCACCCCATCTTAAAAGCACCTAAGGACCCAGGAAGCTCTCTCTCTGCCTGGGAGAGGTCTAGAGAGAAAGAGGTTTGGTTTTGTTTTATTTTGATTTGGGGGAAAAATGAGACACAAAGATTAGGAATAGTGAAGAACATGGCTGGCCTTGGAAGAGTGCAATGCACAGAGCCGTAAATGACCTTGTGGGATAATGGAAATACCATGTCTTTATTGTGGCAATGGCTTTGAGGGTTATGCAACTGTCAAACTCATTAAACTGTACACTTTACATGGGTGCAGTTTTTTTAGTGCACTTGAATTATCCCTTAGTTAGAAAGAGTATAAGGAAATGAGGCAGCCTCGGGCTCCCTAGGAGTTCACCCCAGGCTATCCCTGCTCACCTATTCACAGGCATGCTCAGTCTCTTGCCCTCACCTGTCCTCTACTCCATGCCCACATCACCCTGGGTGAATGGAGTGGCTGCCTAGTCCAGCCATCTCCCTGAAGGCCAGCTATGCCTGCACAAGGTTATCGAAATGACAAACTGTTGTGTTTCTGTCCCCAGGACTCCAACCTGTCTATATATACCGACACTCCGGACCTCACACCCTGTTTCCAGAACTCCTTGCTGGCCTGGGTCCCCTGCATCTATCTGTGGGCTGCCTTGCCCTGCTACCTGTTCTACCTGAGGCACCACCATCTTGGCTACATAGTCCTCTCATGCTTATCCAGGCTCAAGACGGTCAGTGACCTGGGGTTGTCCTCTGAGTGGGGGAATCGAAAGGATTCTGCTTCTAATGAACTCCTTGCCCCAACTGGCAGCTAGACCAGTGTTCCTAGCCTGTCCCTGCCCTGAGTTCTGGGCTATAAAAGCCTATCAACTGGGTCTGCAGGCCTTCCCTGTATTGAAAGTTGTAGAATGTTCAACAACAGAATTTCCTATCACCCTAGAAACTTCTGAGTAGGCCCAGACAGGTCTGGTAGCTTACGTTGGCTACATGAAAAGGGACCTCTCCCTAGCAGGGACTAGTACTGCCATTAAAATAGAGACTAATCTGTGCACTCTCTATAGGCCCTCGGGGTTCTGCTGTGGTGTGTCTCATGGGTGGACCTGTTCTACTCCTTCCATGGCCTGATCAACGGCTCATCCCCTGCTCCTGTCTTCTTTGTCACACCCTTGGTGGTGGGGATCACCATGGTTAGTGTGGGCCCCAGGATGCTGTGGAGGGGGGTCTCCGGTGGGCTGTGAGGTTTCCTATGACCATGGGCTCTGAAGAAGAGGGTGGACACATGACAGTTGTCAGAAAGTGAAATGACTCCAAAAACGCCTGGGCACACAAGAAGGGCTTATATGTGTGTGCTTTAGCCAAGTGTTCCCTGCCCTTCCTGCATAGCTGCTGGCCACATTGCTAATCCAGTATGAGCGGCTTCGGGGGGTGCAGTCTTCAGGAGTGCTCATCGTATTCTGGCTCCTGTGTGTGATCTGTGCCATCATCCCCTTCCGTTCCAAGATCCTCTCAGTTATGGCTGAGGTAAGAAGTTCAGCCCTTTCGAGTCTAGCCCTGTTCTGGGGTATGGCTTCAAGGCTCAAGGTTACTGCTGATTCCAGGCTTTCTCAGTTCCAGTTTCAGGGTTTCCTCTGCTCAGTGTCTTTTATGCTGTTCCTCTACCTGCTACATCTCTGCCTGGTGGCAGGAAGTGGGAGATCTGAGCAATGCAAATAGAAATAGGTCAAAGATCCAACCGTGGTTAGATGCTCCTGGGAGTGCTGGGGTCGGGGAGGGGAAGGCAATTCTGTAACTGCCACCCCCAAGTTCAATAACCTAGGGAGGGCAGGACCATCCACCTAGTGTGGGCACCAGAGTCTGTTATGAACACATGTGCAGATGTGTGTGAAGACCCACTCATTCGTTCTGTTTCTTCCTGCCAGCTTCAGTCTGGCCTTGCTCTTTGGTGGGTGGGATGGAACACAGAGATGATGGCCCTGTCTCCCTCTCTGGGGAGGACACAGGCAAGGAGCCAGTTGCTGAATTTCCTGTCAGCACAATGCCTGGTTCAAGGCAAGTCCTCTCCATGTCACTGTCCTCAACAGCACACACTTTTTCCCTACCACTGGGCATCCTCTGGGTGCTCCGGGTGAGCCTGATTCCCCAGGGTGCTGAGCTGCACGCCAGCCTTCCCAAAAGCTTCTGAGGTCCCTCTCCACTCTCCCCCAGGGTAAAATCTTGGATCCGTTCCGATTCACCACTTTCTACATCTACTTTGCCCTCGTGCTCTGTGCCCTCATCCTGTCCTGCTTCAAAGAGAAGCCGCCTCTGTTCTCCCCAGAGAATCTTGACACCGTGAGTTTGCCTCAGGAGGGTGCAACAGTCTATGTCTCAGCCCAAATGGTAACAACAGCCCCATTCCTCCAATCTCACCCAAAGCAGAGACTGCCACTGCCACAGCTTGTGAACAGGCTGAGCACATGAAGGAACGGTGGCCTTCCTCTCCCAGATGTTAAGATGTGCGGGACACCCCCATCTCCTTGTTTCCTTCTTTCTCCTAGAATCCTTGCCCAGAGGCCAGCGCTGGCTTCTTCTCCCGCTTGTCTTTCTGGTGGTTCACAAAGTGAGTTGGCTCTTGCTCTAGCTTAGACCTGAGGAGTGGGATAGGAAGTCCTGGAACCCCAGGAATTGGCCTGACTTGCTCCCTCCCCCATACTGCCACCCCCAATAATAGGTGGACAGGTCAGGGTGGGCAAAAGTGTCTGTTTGGGCTGGGAGTTGAGTCCAGAGGCTGAGCCTGACCCAGTCTAGGTCCTAGGCTACAGGCCATCCCTGCATCTGGCAGGCCACAGGGACAGATGCAGAAGGCTGGAAGGAGACCATAATTAGCTCTAAGCTTTTCCATTTGGGATAAGCTTCTAGCTTGTCATCTCCTTGGCTGCTCCTCAGAGTGGCTTGAACAGGATAATTGTGTCTGTGACCTGGGTGACAACTCATTAACCGCATACACCTGAGGCTGGCCTGAATCCCTCCTGCCTTGTGCACACTCAGGCCTAGTCAGTGTGGGTTTTATTGCCGGGGGCCCTTAGACAAATAGAGCATCTGGGGATATATAGGAGAGAGGCAGAGAGAGATTCGAATCAAGAGGGACCCTTCTTGCCATGGGAATGACTTTGGTACTGCAGTTAAGGAGGACCTCCCCTAACCTGAGGCCCTAGAAATAGCCCCTGCTCTAGGCTTCTGACCCTGTGTGAGGATTCCGCCTTCCTCCTCCAGGCTTGCCATCCTTGGCTACCGACGTCCCCTGGAGGACCGTGACCTCTGGTCTCTGTCTGAGGAGGACTGCTCTCATAAGATAGTGCAACGGCTGCTGGAAGCATGGCAAAAGCAGCAGAACCAAGCGTCAGGGTGAGTCCTCCCTGTGCCCTCAGGTCCCTATCCCAACTTCTCAGTCCCCAGGCACCTGTGGTGTTGTGCAAAGACCTGGATGCACAGGCAGGAGCAGGAAGAACAGAAAAGTAGGGGATGTCTCAGCAGCCTTAGGATGCTACAGGTGGGAGCAAAGCCTGGGTGGGGACCTGTCCTCCCTGGGTTGCCTGAGGACCAGGGGCTACTGATACCTGTGTCCCACTCAATGTATAGTAGGTGCAGCTCTTAGCGTATAGAGAACCTCATTCACTTTCTCAGCAGCCCAACAGTATTTGTTCCTTGACCCAGAGAGGGGACAATGAAGCTTAGAGGTTTAATGACACAGCCAAGGTCTCCCGCCTGATGTTGACAGAGCAATACTCCACACCCAGCTGGCCCAGAGGCCCTAATCAGATCTCTGTTCTACTGTGCCTCATCTGAATCAGAAATTGTAGGGGTTTTCTGAGGGAGGGCAGGACCAGTCCTCTCAATCCTCCCTCTCTTGTCTGGAGGCAGGCCAGAATGAGAGCCTTTGAGCTGGCAGCCTCCCATCCAGGACCCACAACCAAGCCCTTTTCCCTCTCGCTCACAACCTGGAGTTTAGAAGTCAATGCTTGGTCATCCCAGGGCCACTGGAATGCCAGCTGTTAGTGGAAAAAGGACAGGGCTTAGATGTCAGTGTTGTAGCTTCCCTACCTTGGGACCTCTGGAGAGGCCAATAGAACCCCCAGCTGCCAGCTCTACTCTGTCTCTGTTCCCTGATACCAAGTCTACCTGCTCCCTATTCAGCTCTCCTGACCTCCCCTGTCTCCGTATCCCTACTAAAACCAGCTCAGGGAGGCAGGAAGAACCCATGGAGCTGGGTACATAGTTCTCCCTTCAGTAAACACCTGGAGACTGTCATCTGGGGAATGATGTTGTCTATCTCCCTTCCAGTTCTGAAAGCCAAGAAAAGCTGCCACTGCTGCTCCAGTCCTTCCCCCAGCCCCACCGTGCTGCCTCCTCCTCTCCATCCCCCTCCTACCTACCCATCCTAGACTGGCCCTTAGTCTCCTGGAACCAGGTACCATTCCTACCCATTGCTGTTTGTTCCCAAACAGGCACCAGACTACAGCAGTTGGGCCAAAGATCCCAGGTGAGGAGGAGGTCCTACTGAAGCCGCGAACCAAGTCTAAGAAGCCTTCCTTTCTGAGGGCTTTGGTGAGAACGTTCACCTCCAGCTTGCTCATGGGTGCCTGCTTCAAGCTGATCCAGGACCTGCTCTCCTTCATCAACCCACAGCTGCTCAGGTCTGACCACACTTTCTCTTGCTGCAGCCCTCTCTCGAGGGAGGAAGGATAGCTGACTGCCCTAGACTAGGAACCGAAGAGGCTTTGTCTGCTTTCTGCGTGACCCTTGGCCAGGGGCATTGCTTCTGTGTCTCGATCTCCCATTCCCATTTCACGAGCGTCTGCCCACACCACGTGTTTGTCAGTAATAAGTGCCCCCCCTTATTAGGGGAGTCCCCTAGGGAAGTGCCCATATTTCCTCGTTTTACAAATGCGAAAGCAGACACATACTCAGGTGAAGCACGCAGCTGGTAAGACAAGGCAGATGTGAGTCCGGGGCTCTGAAGTCCAACTATAGAGCTCTTTCCAGCCTCTGCCATCTGTCACAGGAGAGGTTTGGACTGGAGGGAGCCCTCCGATGACAGGGTGAGACACAGCTCTAAGCCCTGCATCCGTTCCCTCCTGCTTTGTACATATCCATCAATACAAATATTCAGAGCGCCTTGAGCAGCCTCCTCTAGTCATGCAGATAAATCAAGAGTCTTAGGGTCTTGTGGGAGAAACCAGTGGTAATTCAGGAAGAATACAGTGGGTCACAGGCATGCCTGGGAAGGCCAGGAAGTCAACCTGCCACGTCTGAGAACCTGTGCCCGGCTCAAGAGTTTATCTCTGAAGAACTAAGTGAATGACGGAGAAGGGGAAGTACAACCAGATGAGTCACCAAGGGCTGAGACAGCATGACTCGGGAGTTGCAGCGTGGGACTACTTGAAAAAACTACCTAAGGGTGGGGTGAAGCTGTGGAAAGGGAAAGCCAGGGAGAGGCACCTTGTTTACATTTCAAAGGCTGGCCCTGCAGCAGAGGTGGGGCAAAGTGGCAAGGCCAGGTTAGGTGAGCTGGTCAGAGGACAGTACAAGCCAGGAGTAGGGCAAGCAAGGATTCAGGAGCTACTCTGTCAAGGGCAGCTTATGCCTCTGAGGGACTGTGGACCTTTTCTTGATTGATGAGTTCAGAGGGAGAAAAGGGGCAGGCACAGGGCTAAGTGCTGGCTAGGTGGGCCCTCTGAGAGAAGATCCCTTTCAGGAGTCCCTAGAGGAGGTCCAGGTGTCTGGGGGCTCAGCTCTCCTAGACTGTCTGTGAGAGGGAGAGGCCTGAGGACCTCAGCAGAGCCTTAGCAGTCCTAACAGATAGCACTGGTTAGATTAAAGCTGGGGACACAAGATGAACCCAAGAGAGTGCTTCTGGGGGAAAGAGTGGCTTCCAGAAAATTAACCAGCTAAGTCATCCTGGGAAGGCAGCAATAAGTTGATTAGCAGCTTTGAAAAGGCTGGGGCCTGGGAAAGAGGGAGAAGGCCTCAGAGCAGCAGAGTGTCTGCAATGAAACCAAAGTCTCAAAATGCCCTTTATGGTTTACTAACAAGTTTTCATCATGTGGTCAGCCTGAAATAATAGAAATTATTCCTTCATGTCTGCCCCACTGTTCAAAAATCAAGATGTGTTGACTGGATTGGTGATGGGTTTTGTTTGTTTGTTTGTTTGTTTGTTTGTTTGATGAATTGGTTGGTTGCTTTGGTTTGGTTTGACATGATCTCACTATGTAGCACTGACTGGTCTGGAACTCTCTGTCAGACCAGGCTGGCCTCAAACACACACGCAATCTTCCCACCTCTGGCTCCCGAGTGCTGGGATTGAAAGCATGCACCACCACACCTGGATCAGTCTTTCTGTTTGTTTTGAAACCGAGTCTTGTTCTGGGACCCAGGCTAGCCTTGACTGCCAGTCCTCCTGCTTCCTTTCGTCTTCTCAGTGCTAAGATCCAGACATTTGTTTCCATGCTCTGATGCCGACTTGGTTTTTGCCAAAGACTCTGTCTGAATGAGAATCTTTCCTGATCGTGTCTTTTAGCTTTGGTGGTTGTCAGCAGTTCCTGGTGTTCCTAAAATGAAAATTCATTAATTCATTAATCAGATCTATGCCTTCACCACACACCTCCTCTGTGTGTGTGTCTGTGTGCCTGTGTGAGTGTGTGTGTGTCTGTGCATGTGCAAATTTCCTTCTCTTCTGATAAAGACAACAGTACTTGAATTACTTCCCCATTACCTCATCATAACCAATAATAGCTACAAAGATTCCGTGTCCACATGCGGTCACATTTGTAGGTGCCAGAGGGTCAAGACACAAATTAGTCCCCAGGAGAACAGCAGGCTTGATTCCGATGGTGGCTGGAAAGCTCCATGAGGACAAGAGGAGGTTTGTTCTATAACATGATGAGTCTTGCTCATGTTCCTAGGTGAAGGCACAGAAGAGGTGACAATATTGAATGTCATGCAACAGTGGGAATCCAGTCTTCTTGTTGGATCTTCCCCAACAGGAAGATTGGATCCCGGGCTCAGGGAGACAAGATACGACTTGAAAAGTCAGAAGAACAACTCCTTTTATAAGACAGGAGCAAAGGATGAGCTCGAAGAAGCATGGGAGCTTTGGGAACAGCAGGGAATTCTCCGTGGGCAGTTAAGTAGAAAGACAGGAGGAGCTGTTGGGAGTGTCGAGGAGTGGGGGCAGGCCAGGAGGTAAGAGGAGAAAGATGAAGGCAGCCATAGGAGAGGTGGACAAGAGCCCCAGCAAAGACAGCAGATAGCACTGGGGGTCACGTGTTGGGAGGATTTGTGCAATGAAAAGTTCCTGTGGCCCTTTGTGTGTGTGTGTATGGGGGGTGAGGTTCTAGAAACTCAAGCAGCCCTGGAGAATGAGTAAGAAGATCTAGCCAGTGACAGTGTGCCTCTTCTGCCTGCCATGACACTCAAGGAGGTGAAGACAAGCAGGCAAGGCTAATGATAAGAGCTATTACATGAGAGACAGGCTGAGAAGAGCAAACCAGCCTCATACCTGGTCTCCCCCCCCCCCCCCCGCAGCATACTCATCAGATTTATTTCTGACCCCACGGCCCCCACCTGGTGGGGTTTCTTGCTGGCTGGGCTGATGTTCGTGAGCTCCACCATGCAGACGTTGATCTTACACCAATATTACCACTGCATCTTTGTGATGGCCTTGAGGCTACGGACTGCTATCATAGGTGTCATCTACAGGAAGGTCAGCCAGAGTGGGACCTGTACTGGGAGAGGTCATTTCTGAGTTGCTTGGGAGAAACTCCTGAACTTGGTCCATTCCCCCAACTCTTCATCTACAGGCTCTGGTCATCACCAACTCAGTCAAACGTGAGTCCACTGTGGGAGAAATGGTCAACCTCATGTCAGTGGATGCCCAGCGCTTCATGGATGTCTCCCCCTTCATCAACCTGCTGTGGTCTGCACCTTTGCAGGTCATCCTGGCAATATACTTCCTTTGGCAGGTAAGTCCTGAATGTTGAGCTCTGTCCCTTCCTCTGACCACGTCTATCTATGCTTATAGATGAACTGTGTTATGCCCATAAGACCATCCCTAGGTAGGAGAACTTGGTCAGTCACTCTTCCTATCCTAGGGTAAGATTTATTCCTCAAAAGCCAGAGGCAAGGGGTACATGGAGACACACATTCTGCTACTAACACCTCTGCCCTTTGAATTTTTATTTCAAGATGGGGGGGGGGGAGGGTCTCGCTAAGTTGCTCAGGCTGATCTTAAAATCACTGTGTAGCCCAGGCAGACCTCAAACAGTCTAAGTAATAGAATCCCAGACCTGTGCCAGCACAACCAGTTTGGACATCTCTCGCCATGGGTCCCACTGACCATCTGTGGTCATCATCTGATAGGTGACTGCTTCTATTGATGTGACTTTCTGTCTCCTTACCTGACTGACGTCTTTTGTCTCCTGCCTCTGCTGAGCTCTGTCTTTCCTGACCCTTCACTTGTCTGTGTCTCCTCAGATCCTGGGTCCATCAGTCCTGGCTGGAGTGGCTGTGATAGTCTTGCTGATACCACTCAATGGAGCTGTGTCCATGAAGATGAAGACCTACCAGGTAGGTGAGGCTAAAGGCATCTGCTTTAGATGGGAATACCAGCTGGGGGTGGTGGAGCCAAGAACCAGTGTTTACCTTCTACTCTCTGGGCTTCTTCTCCAGTCCCTCTACTAAATGTGGATAGCCACAGCCCCTTGTACAAACCTTACCTCCTCAATCTTTATAGTTTATAGTGATAATCTGATTTCACAGCAGTGAGACCAAGGCCCAGAGTAACTGAGGCAGTCCAGAGACAGGTAGAGCATAGAGCAGGGACTCAAATGTGTTCCCACTTTATGGTGATAAGAGTTAATAACCTTGTCAATAAATTATCTACCTGCAAATGATTACTGGAGTCTTCAGCAGCTCTCTCTACACATAGAATAGATGACAAACCACCTGAGACTGCTGCCTTAGTCGTTGTCCTGCTGCTGGGACGAGACATCATGACCAAGTCAACTGTTATAAAAGAAAGCATTTAACTAGGGGCTTGCTTAGAGTTTCATGATGTAGTCCCTTATCATCATGGTAGAAAGCATGGCAGTAGGCTTGGCAGACATGGTGTTAGAAAAGTAGTTGAGAGCTACATCCTCATCCAAAGTGTGTGTGGGGGGGGGAGAGAGAGAGAGACCCTGGGCTTGGCATGGGCTTTTGAAACCTCAAAGCCCACCCCAAGGGACATACTTCCTCCAACAAGGCTATGCTTCCTAATCCTTCTAATCCTTTCAAATAGTGCTACTCTCTGGTGCCTAACCATTCAAACATATGAGCCTATGAATAGAGGGGGCTATTCTCCTTCAAACCATCACAACCACCCTCCAGGCTCCCTTGATCCTTGCATGTCTCCATTTCTAATCCTCATGGGATGGCCACATTTTAGATGTGTGTACATCTGGGTCACTACATAAACTATTCTCTCTTCCCAGTATAGTCTTCACTTTCCTTGCCTCTTTAACTCCTCCCCTTCCTTTACCCCTCAGCATAAGCATCAGTTCCTTCAGAGAACTGCCTTGATTACCACAAGGTCATTCCCCTGCCCTCACCTGTTTATCCCCTACCTGCATCCTGTTCCCTCCCTTTGGCACACACAATGACTTCCAATTGAGTATCTATTCTGGTAAATATTTCTTGAGCAACATGTAATAGCTACAATAGATGAGATGGTATGGGAGGTATGAGCCCAATTTGTTTTGAGACAAGATTTCTCCGTGTAGTCCTGGCACTACTCTGTTGACCAGGCTAGCCTTAAGCTTACAGAGAGCTACCTGCCTCTGCCATCAGAACGTCAACTGTATGATGGCCAGGGTCACCTCCGAATTTTTCCTCCTGCATCTGGCACATGGGTTGGCACATAGCCACTCAGCAAACAAGAGCTAAGTTTATAAGTCACTGTGTCAGGCCTTAGATTAGGATCCCAGTGAATTAGAAAAACAATCTCTGCCCATGTGAGGATCAGAGTCTGACTGGGGGCATTGTGTACATAGGTAGGGATGGGAATGAAAGTCAAGGGCAAAGAATGCTGCCCGGTAAGGTTAGTGTCACTGAACGTGGAGCTGCTCTTCTGTGTCAGGGCACACAGGCTGTGCAGGGACAGGGATTTGGGCATTTGAGGTGGAGTGGGAAGGCATGTTGAGCAACATGTAATAGCTAAAATAGATGGTATGGTACAGGAGGTATGAGCCCAGTGGGTAGGAGGTTTGGGGAGGGGAAAGGGTGAACCACTGTTCCTTTCCTCACAGGTAGAGCAAATGAAGTTCAAGGACTCCCGCATCAAGCTGATGAGCGAGATCATGAATGGCATCAAAGTGCTGAAGCTGTATGCTTGGGAGCCCAGCTTCTTGGAGCAGGTAGAAGGCATCAGGCAGAGTGAACTCCAGCTGCTGCGGAAGGGTGCCTACCTGCAGGCTATCTCCACCTTCATCTGGGTCTGCACCCCGTTTCTGGTGAGGCTCTCCACTGGAATGGGGGTTCTTGGCAGTGGGTAGGCCATTCCAGATCTTAGGGTTCCCTGGGGAACTCCACCAGGACACTCATTCCCATGTTAACCAGGTGACTCTGATCACCCTCGGAGTGTACGTGTGCGTGGACAAGAACAATGTGCTGGATGCTGAGAAAGCCTTTGTGTCCCTGTCTTTGTTCAATATCTTAAAGATTCCCCTCAACATGCTGCCTCAGTTAATCAGTGGCATGACCCAGGTAACACAAGGCAAGCGGGGTGTCTGTTGGACTTAGGATATGTGGGGAAGTCAAGCAAGATTCACTTGGGATCAATGGATAATCAAGTGGGGGAGGGCATCAAGGAAAGCCATGAAGATTACGTGGGTGGAGTCACTGGGCCTGAGTTTCAGACACAGCCTCCTTTTAGCAAACTAGACTTTCTCTTCAGGCAGTGGGAACCATACAAGGCTTGGTTACAGGAGGGGGTCCCAGCATTAGTGAGTCGGTCTTCAGGGAGCCCTGCTTAGCCCCAGAAGTTGGGGACCCACGGAGCAATGGTGAGGCTAATCCACACCCTCCTGCAGACCAGCGTGTCTCTGAAACGGATCCAGGATTTCCTGAACCAAGATGAACTTGACTCCCAGTGTGTGGAAAGAAAGACCATCTCCCCAGGTCCCAACACTCTTACTCCAGGGCGATCCTGCTCCAAGATTTCTAAGACTCCTCCTCTAACCCCTTCTCTTCTCTGAACTCTGAAGCCCCTCTGTTAATCAGTTCTTCTCCTTTACCCCTCCCCGAGGGCTCCTCATGCTCCTCCCTCTGCTGGTGCTCCAGGGATCTCCCTTGCCCAAGATCCTCCCAGGTTTCCCTGACTTCTGATGATGTCCTAGACTCATTTACCTGTATGCATCTTGGTCCTCCTAGGCTTCGCCATCACCATACACAACGGCACCTTCACCTGGGCCCAGGACCTGCCACCCACCCTGCACAGGTAACATTGTCTTCTCATATTCACTTGCCAGCTATCCAAAGCAGACAGAGGTCAGATCAAACACAGCCCTTTCTCTCCTTGTCAATGGCTTTGATATGGAATGCAAGAAGAACTTAATTTTGTCAGGGTGGTGTCGGGGATGGGGGAGGCCTTGGGTCTGCAGATGGAAAGCTTGGATCAAACCCAAGCCCCACCACTGACTGATGCTCCTTGCTCCTAGCCTAAACATTCAAATCCCGAAGGGGTCATTGGTGGCTGTGGTGGGACCTGTGGGCTGTGGGAAGTCTTCTCTGGTGTCTGCCTTACTCGGAGAGATGGAGAAGGTGGAAGGTGCAGTGTCTGTAAAGGTGAGAGGGGAAGGGTCTCCTAAAAAGCCATAAAGTATGACCAGCCTCAGGCAAACCCTAAGATACCTTCTCCCTCCTCATTGGCCAGGGTTCTGTGGCCTACGTGCCCCAGCAGGCATGGATCCAGAACTGCACACTTCAGGAAAATGTGCTATTTGGCCAACCCATGAACCCTAAGCGCTACCAACAGGCTCTGGAGACATGTGCCCTGCTAGCTGACCTAGATGTGCTTCCTGGTGGGGACCAGACAGAGATTGGAGAGAAGGTACGGAGCCAACTTCTCATCCCCAAAGGGCTAGCTCAGGAGGCTGCTAGCCAGAGCCCAATCTCAGATTCCCTTACGCACTCATGGGTTTGTGTAAACCATCAGGCCCAGCTCTGTGCCAGGAACTGGGGAAACATCTCTCTCTATTCCTGGGAGGACAACTCATGAACAGACAGGGACCACAGAATTTCCCAAGGTCATGGGAAAGGTCTATGCAGGGTAGAAGAAGGGCAGGAGGCAGAGGGTCTGTATAAGGAGAAGCATCACTTTTGAGCTGACTCTTTTTTTAAGATTTGCTTACTTATTTTATGTATATGAGTATGTGTCTTCATGCCCACCAGAAGATGGGATCAGATCCAATTACAGATGGTTGTGAGCCGCCATGGGGTTGCTGGAAATTGAACTCAGGACCTCTGGAAGAGCAGCCAGTGCTCTTAACCTTTGAGCTGTATCACCAGCCGCTTGAGCTGACTCTTAATGACTGAGAGAGGTGCATGGGGGAACAAGCAAGTGCTACAACATGTGTGTGGGGTCCATTTTCTCCTTCTACTTTTGAGTACCAGGAATCAAACTCAGGTCCTCACAATCTTGGTGGCAAGCTTCTTTTTCTCCTTTGCACTCTCTTGCCATGCCTTGTTTTTATTTTTAAAGTATTTCTTTTTTAAGAGTTTGGTTAAGGGGCTGGAGAGATGGCTCCGTGGTTAAGAGCACTGACTGCTCTTCCAGAGGTCCTGAGTTCAATTCCCAGCATCCACATGGTGGCTCGCAACCATCTGTAATGGGACCTGATGCCCTCTTCTGGTGTGTCTGAAGACAGCTACAGAGTAGTCATATAAATAACATAAATAAACAAATAATCTTAAAAAAAAAGAGAGTTCGGTTAAAGGTCTCCTAACATTAAATATACCCATCTTAATCATCATTCCGTGCCCAGTTCAGTCCCCGCTGTGGACATTCACAGTGTCCCCGTTGTGTCCATTCACAGTGTTACGTAATATTTGCTAGAACCTGGTCATTCCAGATGTCACTCAGACCTTGTTGTCTTGTTGCTGCTTATTAGACAGCTCTCAGTCCTTCTTCCCTCTCCAGACCTGGCAACCACCACTTTGTTTTTCAGAATCTGGCTCCCCTAGACACCTCTGGGAGTGCAGTTGTGTTGTATTTACCTTTCTGTGTCCAGTTCACTTCAGTTGGTACAGTGAGCTCAGACTTCATCCCCACTGTAGTATTTGCCACCATTTCTTTCTTTCTTTCTAGGGCTAAATAAGATTTCAGTCTATGGGTAGACCTGTAGTTTGCCCATTCATCTGTCATGAACATTGTCATTGGGCAGGGTAGCCAACTGGGCAGGGTACTGACTGGGCTCATCTGCCCCAGAGGACTCTAAGAGCCAGCATCAGTTCTGAGGGCTACAGCTTTGTATGGGCTACAAATTTGTGGAGAGCAAGTGTCCTGTGAAATACAGATACAGGAGTCTGCCTAACTGAGTGATGATGAGCAGGCTCTGTCTCCTGTGGGCCCGTTTGACCCCCTCTACTACCGAAGATCACCCACCTTCTCCTCCCTTTAGGGCATTAACCTATCTGGGGGCCAGCGACAACGAGTGAGTTTGGCCCGAGCTGTTTATAGTGATGCCAACATTTTTTTGCTGGATGACCCACTGTCGGCTGTGGACTCTCATGTGGCTAAGCATATCTTCGACCAAGTGATTGGACCAGAGGGTGTGCTGGCAGGCAAGGTGAGGACACAGGAAGCTAGCAGCAAAGATGAGATCTGATCCTGGGAGAGAACAGATAGAAGGCTAAAGGGGGTGGGGAAGACCCAGAGATGTAGGAACCTGAGAAGCAAGGTAGAATCAGTGGGATTCCATAGGGACTCATACCCTAAAGATGCTGAGAAGGCGCTGGCTGGGGTAGGATACATTGTGGATATGCCTGGCCTGTGACTCCTCATGGCTTGTGTCAATGCTTGAGGTATGCCCAAGGATGCTGTAGCTCAAAGCCTGCTGCCTTCTCCACAGACTCGTGTGCTGGTTACCCATGGCATCAGCTTCCTGCCCCAGACGGACTTTATCATTGTGCTTGCTAACGGACAAGTGTCTGAGATGGGCCACTACTCGGCCCTCCTGCAGCATGACGGCTCCTTTGCCAACTTCCTCCGAAACTATGCACCAGATGAAGACCAGGAGGACCATGAAGGTGGCCAAAAATTAATACCCACCATCCCTGGTCTTCCCAACCCCCACCCTCTCCAAGTATCTACCTCATCTGGGGTTTCCAAGTATCCCTGGGCTGGCCTAGTGTGGTACTGGGGACCTTGTTCTGGGAAACTAGAGCCACATGTGTGATGGGTGAACCTGATGCTCTCAGATCCTACCTTCTGCCCTCTAACTGCATTAGCAGTACGGGTCTCAGAGTCTACTTTCCCATGTGTCATGTGAAACCAGCACACGAGCTGAGCTTAGACCCAGAATATATACTGAAGCCATCTTATGGTTAAATTGTGTTGCAAGTATATAATACTTGACAAAATAATGTATTTGCCAACAAGATTTGTTAAATAATTGCTATGACCTGGAACTATTTCAGCTAGTAGTAGACTAACAAAAATCTATCACCATGAAGCCCCAGGGTAGTGTCTGAGCTCTCCAAAGGCATGCTCCCCTCTGGGTTGCCCAGGCAGAGCTCCCTACCTCCACCCTCTGAGCTAGCTCTCAGGCCTTCTCTTGGTCCCTGACTAATACCAGATATACAGCAACCTGCATGAGCATTCCCCAAGTGCCATGCCCCATGACAAACCAAGGACACGCATCCTTTCTTTAATCCTATGGCTGGCGGTGCCATGAGCTATCTGTGATTATTACTCTTGACTACGCCAGCCTGAGGTCCTGCTGCCATCAAGAAAGTAGGATTTTAAGGTCAGTTAGACTGACTTCGGAGCCAAGTTTTCAGGCTATTGAGCCCCCTTCTCTACAATCTCCAAAGAGAAGGTTTTTGTTTGTTTTTTGTTTTATTGTTGTGGCTTTGTTTTGTTTGCATTGCCTAGACCCATTTCCTTCTAGCTAGCTTTTCAAACCCTCTCCTGCTCCCTGTTCATCCATCCAGAACCCCCACCAGCATGGAGGCTAGGCTCTCAAGGGCTGCCCAAAGGAGCAGTCAACCTCCGTGCTTTTCCTTTCTTGTCACAGCCTTGCAAAATGCAAATGAGGAGGTGCTTCTGCTTGAAGACACACTCAGCACCCACACAGACCTGACGGACAACGAGCCAGCCATATACGAGGTCCGCAAGCAGTTCATGAGGTAGATTCCCAAGAGTTCTCAAGGCCCCAGCAGGCTACATCAGGGCCCCCAAACACTGGCAGGGAGACTCCAAGTGGACATTCTCCCTGTCACGCGTGTCCTGGGAGGGTGTCCGTAGTCTGCTGCCTGGGTCTGACCAGTTGCTTCCACAGGGAGATGAGCTCCTTGTCTTCTGAAGGGGAGGGCCAGAACCGGCCTGTGCCCAAGAGACACACGAATTCATTGGAGAAGGAGATGCCGGTGACAAAGACTAAGGAGACGGGTGCATTAATCAAAGAGGAGACAGCAGAGACAGGCAATGTGAGCAGGGTGGACGTGGGCTGGGGAAGATGATTGGGTCCCTGGAGTCCGTGAAGATGGTGCGGCCACTCTTTACAGGTGAAGCTGAGCGTGTACTGGGATTATGCCAAGTCTGTGGGGCTCTGCACCACGCTATCTATTTGCCTCCTGTATACTGGCCAAAACGCGGCTGCTATCGGAGCCAATGTGTGGCTCAGTGCCTGGAGCAATGACGCGGTGGGACAGGGCCAGCAGAACAACACCTCCGTAAGGCTAGGTGTCTACGCTGCCCTAGGAATACTGCAAGGTGAACACATCAGCGTGCTCAGCCCTTCCTCTCCTCTGCCCTCTCCCCAAGCCACAATATCATGCCCATGTCTCAGAACCTCCGAAACTCCACCTGGCCATCCCCTGTCTCATTCTTCCTTTCTGTCCTGGCTTTCTCCCCTGTGGTGAGTGACTCACCCTCCGTCTCTCTCCCAATAAGGACTCCTGGTCATGCTGTCCGCCTTCACCATGGTGGTCGGCGCTATCCAGGCTGCCCGCTTGCTGCACGCAGCTCTGTTGCACAACAAGATTCGTTCGCCTCAGTCCTTCTTTGACACAACGCCCTCGGGCCGCATCCTCAACCGCTTCTCCAAGGACATATATGTCATCGACGAGGTTCTAGCTCCCACCATCCTCATGCTGTTCAATTCCTTCTTCACATCCATCTCCACCATTGTGGTCATTGTTGTCAGCACGCCGCTCTTCCTCGTGGTTGTCCTGCCTCTGGCTGTGCTCTATGGCTTTGTGCAGGTGCCAGCGTGGATGGGTGGGATACTGAAGCCAGTGGGGAGGGTGGAGCTCTAGAGTGGGTAGGGAGTGTGATGGTGTTGGGGTTCGGGAGTGTTAGGGGACCCTCTGATGTGGGCCAGGCACTTTTATAGGCTGGGTTGTCCCTGGATTGGATCAGGGACTGTAGTCAGTTGCTTTACGTCCTTGAAATTCACTTATCTAATTTGAAAAATAGACTCTTAGCATCTACTTCATAGGGATAATGTGAGGATGAAATGTGTGTTCATAAACTGACAGCCCCGGGGCTCTTCCCGATTGGCTGTGTCTTATTGAATTTATGTGTAGGATGTGTGTGTGGGGGGGTATGTGCATGTGCACATGCCTGTCTGTGTGTGTGTGTGCATAAGTGTGCATTTGTGGCGGCCAGAGGTGTCAATGTCAGGTGTCTTCCTCAATCATGTTCCACTTTATTTCCTGGGACAGAGTATCTCATTGGATGTAGAGTTCCATCTATTAGAGCTAGGCTGACTGACCAGTGAATTTCAAGGATCTGCCTGTCCCCAACCTCCCCAGGGCTGGGGTTACAGGTGTGCACTGTCATGCCTGGATTTTTATTGTGGGTGCTGAGAATCTTAATTCAGGTCTTCATGCTTGTGTGTCATGCATTCTACTGAGTGAGTGTTCTCATCAGTGTCTTTTATACCTACTGGTATTATTTGAGTGAATCAGCATTAACGGTTTGGGGGACCCCGTTCTTTGTATGCATGCTACTAACATGTTTATGTGTCACTGGAACTGCTCAGAGTTCAGAGACAGCTTGTGCTCACTGGGGTCTTTCTCTTGGGGAGGTGATCTGTTCCTACAAGGAGCTGGAAGTGCAGCCTCTGGGTAAAGAGCCTCCTGTAGACCCATCCTGTGTGGGCCTGGCTGTCTTGGGACCCACAGAATACAGGCTGGAAGATAAAGGCAGAACCATAGTTTTATGAAATTAGCCCTAATAACTAACTAAATAACTAAGTAGGGTAAGTGGCACACTTTCAGGGGAAAAAAAAGATACAAAATTATCTCTGCAAAGTAATTTGAATATGATCACATATCTAAGATCTTTAAGTAGAACAAGGAATCTCATTGCTTGGAGGTTAAACAAGATGGTATCATGGACTGTAAATGATTATGAGACAGGAGGGCATGGGGAGTCAGAGACAGCTTCATGGAAGAGGTGGCCTGGCTGACTGACTGAGCAAAGCTGATCAAGGGGACGTGTATAAAGTATGTCTGGAATCTGTTCTCCAAGGGAGCTTAGGAAAAGACAGCAAGGCTTGTGGGAAGAGCAGGGCCAGGAGGAAGAAGCACAGGAGATTGTTTGGAGGACATGCAGGGCTGAGTTGGTGGCTAGATGACATTCCTGACTGAAGTTCTCTTCCCATCCCCGGCCAGCGCTTCTATGTGGCCACATCACGGCAGCTAAAGCGTCTGGAGTCCATCAGCCGCTCGCCCATCTTCTCCCACTTTTCGGAGACAGTAACGGGCAGCAGTGTCATTCGGGCCTATGGCCGAGTCCAAGACTTCAAGGTCCTCAGTGATACTAAGGTGGACAACAACCAGAAGAGCTGCTACCCCTACATCGCCTCCAACCGGTCAGGAGCCTCCCTTTCCTCTACAGGTGCCCATGGGCGCTCTTTGGTTCTGGGTGGGCTCTAGCACTCACCATTCTTGTTCATTTCCTCCCTATTGGTCCCTACAGATGGTTGGGTGTCCTCGTGGAGTTCGTGGGGAACTGCGTGGTGCTCTTTGCCGCACTGTTTGCTGTGATCGGAAGAAACAGCTTGAGTCCGGGGCTTGTGGGTCTTTCTGTGTCCTATGCCTTACAGGTAAGGCAGGGTCTGGAACTCTAGGCAGGGCCACCACTGAGGCAGAGGCTCACCAGCATTGGCTGGGTATCCTCTTCTGTTCCACAGGTGGATCAGCCCCAGCTTGGTTCTCCAAGCCCTAGCTCTCTTAACCAGGCACAGCCAGCAAGGGAGTGTGATACAGGCTGGGGAGGTCTTCCTGGCAGGAGAAAAAAAAGGGTGGCGAGAGGCAGAGAGATGTAGTTCATTGGTAGAACATTTCCCTAGCATGTGCAAGGCCCTAGGTTCAAACCCAAGTACAGGAAAGAAGGAAGGAAGGAAGGAAGGAAGGGAAGGTGCCCAGACCTTTAAGGAATTTCCCTGTCTGAGATCTTGAAGAAATGATGTTGGGAGCATGGGCCACACAGAACTGTCATGTCCGGACAAGATGCGGGTCAACATGACTGAGGTGTGAACACAGGAGGTGTGTGGCCAGACGACATGATGTGGGTGCACGCCCTCAGGGAAGCTCAAGCCAGCTCTTTGTGTCCTCGGCCTCCTCACTGACAAATCAACCAACTGCAGATAGAAAACCCCTGAAAAGGCTGGGGACAATAGTGCGTGCCTGGAATCCTGGCACTTGGGAGGAAGCGGAGGCAGGAGGATTACTGTGAATTCAATGCCAGTCTGGCCTACAGAGTGAGACCCTTTCTCAAAACAAAATAAATCAAAACCTCTCTCAAAACAATCTGAAAAAAAAATTTCCTGAAGCTTCTGAAAAAAAAACCAACCAGAATACAAACAAAAAACAAAGATGACTTCATTGTTGCTCTGAATCCATGCAAAGGAAGTGACAGGAAGGCATTGTGTTGGCACCTTAAGTGATCTGGAGATCGTTTACAGCATCAGGAGGCTCTGAGTGGCTCTCCTGTGAATCACACGCAGTTTTATGCAAAGGACTGGAACATAGGCGGATTTAGGTATATGCCAGGGTCCCAGAACCAATGCCCTGCGAATGTGGAGGAATAAGGGATGACTGTAAGCATATCAGGTGACTGGAGCCTGGAATTGGAGGTCACCCTGACACCAGCCTGTATGGTCAAAGAGTTATACAATCTGCAAATGGGATTTTTGTAAAGCAAATCACATTGTCGAGGTCTCAGGTGGCTCAGATCTGAATGCATCGGTAAACAAAACCGGAGCTGACAGGCCCGTCTGCTCAAACCTTAATGTGCATGTGACTCATTTGGAGATCTTGTTAAAATGTTCATCCTCGTTCAAGAGGTTCAGTTCCGAGCCCCAGCTTGGATTCTGCATTTCTGTCAAGGCTTCTTGATAACACAGGATAGTCCTTGGACTGGCCACACTGACATATTCCCGGAGCGTGTTCAGAATGAAGAGTCTCAGAGTTACTGACTCACACACTGCGTTTTGACTGTTTGCTCCGAGAAGACTAATACATATTAACATTTGAGAAGCGCTGAGAGAGACTGTCCTTCTCCAAGTCTGCACTGTCACTGCCTGAGGCACAGTTGTGATGAGACTAGTCAGCATACACCTGTAGATGGAATGGGATTCCACTGATCAAGAGATAAAGTCACCCGGCAGCCTTTAATCCCAGCACTTGGGAGGCAGAGGCAGGCAGATTTCTGAGTTCAAGGCCAGCCTGGTCTACAGAGTGAGTTCCAGGACAGCTAGGGCTATACAGAGAAACCCTGTCTCGGAAAACAAAACAAACAAAAAAAAAAGAGAGAGAGAGAGAGAGAGATAAAGTCATGAGCAGGGTATGATGGTGCACACGTTTAGTCCCAGCATTGGGAAGGCAGAGTCAGGCACACTCCTGAGTTTGAGGCCAACTTGGCCTACAGAGTAAATTCCAGAACAGCCAGGGCTACACAGAGAAATCCTGTCTCGAAAAAACAAAACAGAAGGTGGGGGGGCAAAAAGGAAGAAAAAGAAAGAGAAAGCCAGTGTTGGGCTCCCCCCACAACACAATTCTTCTGTTCAGGTGACCATGGCTTTGAACTGGATGATACGGATGATATCCGACTTGGAGTCTAATATCATAGCCGTGGAGAGAGTCAAGGAGTACTCCAAGACAGAGACCGAGGTGAGTCCCAAGAGGAGGAGTCTTGCAGCAGAGGGTACCTGGAGGACTGGCGGAATGATGCTTGGTGGCCTGAATCACTGCGTTTCAAGGCTAGCTGTTTAAATGGCATCCATCCATCCATCCATCCATCCATCCATCCATCCATCTATCTCTCAGAGTATCAGGCCATGGTTGATGCCAGGAGTAGAGGGCTCAGAGTTAAGCAAGAGATTCTAAGTCAGGAGTAGGCACACGGCATATAGATGTCAAGGCTCTGGGGCTGCACACAGGACAGCTAGGAGAGGTGCTTCAGCCGGGATATCCCGGAGTAAGTGACAATCAGAGGATGTGCAAATTTTGACAGAAGAAGTGAAGTAGGGGCGGGGCTAGGAAAGCATATTCCAGCCAAAGAGGCCAGCCAAAGGAACAGAGGCAGGGCAGTGCGCCCTTTCCTAGGGAAAAAAGAATTGTTCTCTCCTAGGTGGGTACAGATTTTTCTCCAAAGAGGTCATAGTTCAGACCTCTCAGACCTCTTCATGCCCAGAAGCTGCACCACCTCCAAGCCCTTAGTGTCAAGCAGCCCATTTTTCAACTCCCGATGGTGTGGTTCAGGCTCGCTCACAGTACTCTGCCCTGTATGAGACTCCAGCGCTCTGATCTCCCTTTGCTTCCCGTCAGCTCCTGTCCCTTTCACCTCCCATAGATAGTCTAGATTCTATCTTTGTTCCACCAGGGGATGCTTTCAACCCATGCCCGTCCGCACCTACAGAACCCCACCCCATCTGAACCCACCTATCCATATCATACCTGTGCAGCACAGCTAACATGTAGCTGGTGAACAAAATCACTACTGTTCCTTCAAGTTCCTAACCACCCTCTCCCCCTGGTATCCCCGCTTCATGTCTCAAGAAGTATGTGCTCCTGCTTCCTTCCTTCCTTCCTTCCTTCCTTCCTTCCTTCCTTCCTTCCTTCCTTCCTCCCTCCCTCCCTCCCTCCCTCCCTCCCTCCCTCCTTCCCTATTTCTTTCTTCCTTTCTTTCTTTCTTTCTTTCTTTCTTTCTTTCTTTCTTTCTTTCTTTCTTTAAGATTTATTTTATGTATATGAGTACACTGTCACACACCAGAAGAGGGGATCAGATCCCATTACAGATGGTTGTGAGCCACCATGTGGTTGCTGGGGATTGAACTCAAGACCTTTGGAAGAGCAGTCAGTGCTCTTAACCAATGAGCCGTCTCTCCAACCCCATGAATTCATTTAAAGCTGTTATCTATACATGTTCTACTCCCTCCTTATCCTAGATCTTACCTTGCTGCAGCCTGCTTTCCAGGAAACATCTTGCCCATAGCCTGCCCTTCTCCAGTCTAAGAGGCCTATGCTCTCTTTCAAGAACCCTTGTTCTGATTCAACATCAGCTACATCCGGATGAAACCACTCACTCTTCCATTTGGGATCTTATGTGATCCAGGGCTTGGGTCTGTTGGTAGACCTTCACTGACAGTCACACCCCCTACACACTTACTTGTTCCCCTTCCCAAAACAACCTGGCCTCCATGCTAGCTCTACCTCCCCTACCCTACACGGGATTCCTGAGATACCCATATCTCTACGTCTCTCTACAGCCAACATGTCCTGTGTTTGCACACAACTAGTTGGTTTATTCCAAATGAGGCTGCTCTCAGTCCTGATGTCTGTGTCTGCCTTTAGCATCTCCTGGACAGAGCTAACTGTATGAACTGCTGGTGTTGGTTCTGCTGCTCCCTGCTCCCCCCCCTTTCTTCCCATCCCACTCCTTTTTTTCTCCCTCCCCCTCCCCTCCCTTACCCCCTCCCCTTCTCCACTCTCTCTTCTTTCTCTAATCCCTTTCTTCCTAATCCCTTCTCCCTCCCCCTTCCCCTCCAGATCTCTCTTTCTCCTCCCTCTCCTCCTCTTCCTCCTTTTCTCCTTTCCTAGTGCTGGCGCTGGAACCCAGGACTTCACGGATGCTAGGCAAGCATTCTGCCACTGAGTTACATCCCTAACCCTTGGGGTTTTGGAAACAGTCTTGCTATTTAGCTCAAACTCACAATCCTACTCCTGTCTCCTGAGGATTGTCATTCTGGGTGTGTGCCACCGTGCCCACATTCCTCTGCAGCTTTCACTGCCTACTGTCTGGCTTCCCAGAAGCTAGGTTGGCTTCATGGGTGTGCAGCCTGGGCCAGCACACAGGTTCTCATTCTTGGAAGGGCCCCATGCACCAAGCCCTGGGTTCTCTCCCTACCGCTAAATAACCCTGGTGTGGCGGCTCAAGCCTATAATCCCAGCACTTGGGAGGTATCAGAGTACCTGTCCCTGTTCTCAGAACACAAACAGCCAAAGCTATTCCTCCAGATAGCCACCTGCCTGTTCCCTCAACTCCTTCAGGTGACCTCTGTCATATCTTGAATAATGTGTAGACCAGCAACCCCAAGTTTATCTGGGCCCAAGAGCTCACTTGTTTCACTATAGACTGGCTTATGTATAGATCATATATGCTCCTGTGCAAGCTGGAACAAAAGCCTTCCAAATCAAGAGCTGTGTCTCACTGGTGACACTTAGGAATAAAGAATAAATAAATATGACAAGGGGGGGGGCGGCTAATGCAGGCAGGGAGAGACCCTCAGAGCAGCAGGGGCAGGACTGTGAGATTTTGGAGAAGCACTTGGGGGAGCGTAATCAAAGGGCTAACATGTTTGTCTGGCAAGTGTGAGGCCCTGGGTTTCTTTTATGAAAAAAGTCAAAGGGTGTAATGATTCACAGAACCACAGGGTGCCAGGTCTCCCTAAAAGGGACCCAGGTGGGTGAAGATTGAGGTGTCTGGAAAGAGGTGGAGCTGAAGAGTAGGGGAGAGATTGGATGCTATCACCCTGATGTGAACAGGAGAACCCAATTGTCTCCCACTAGGCCCCCTGGGTGGTGGAGAACAATCGTGCTCCTGAAGGCTGGCCCACGCGAGGGGTGGTGGAGTTCCGGAACTATTCAGTGCGGTACCGCCCTGGCCTCGAGTTGGTGCTGAAGAACCTGACTCTGCGTGTGGAGGGTGGGGAGAAGGTACTTGTGCCTTAGGACATTGTCAAACCCTTGTGGGGAGGACCAGAATATCTATTGGCTGCTGATGGAAACCTGGAGGTGCCCCTGACAACCTTTCCCTTGTCCCACAGGTAGGCATTGTGGGCCGCACTGGGGCTGGCAAATCTTCCATGACTCTCTGCCTATTCCGAATTCTGGAGGCCGCAGAGGGTGAGATCTTCATCGATGGACTCAATGTGGCACACATTGGCCTCCATGACCTGCGTTCTCAGCTCACCATCATCCCTCAGGTAGAAGCCTGCTGAGCCCGGTGTGTCCCTGTGTCTTCCATGGTGTTGGGCCCTTGTCCGTCCATCCTGACCCCATGTGCCCTCTGCCAACTCCCTCCGTCCTGTCCTCAGTTGTGCCCCCCCCCCAAAAAAAAACTCTTCGGAATTTAAGAACTGGGCCTTGGGGCCTGATTGAGGAGATGCCTCCACACCGGGGAGCACAGTCAACACAAGAGCTTACCCAGGCATAAATCTAGAAGGGCAGACACCTTGGCCAGTCAGGATTGCCCTTGGGCACCTGGACTAGCAACTGAGAAGGACCACAGGCTCCTTGCAAGCTCAGCAATGATAAGATGTCCTATCTTTCTCTCCTGATTGCACAGTTCCAAATGGCACAGCCTTTTCTGCCTCCTTAGTGTGGGTTTTGTTTTTTTTTTTTTAATGCTGAATAGACACTTCAGTCAGATTAGTGGTGCTGGTTCCTGCTTCAGCAGGGAACTTAGCAACTGGCCAAGCTGAGGTTTATCACTCCCCCACAGGTTTTTATCACCCTGGTAAAGTTCTCCTTCTAGAGGACTGGGGGCAGAACAGAGAGCAGCCGCTTGAGTTTCTTTTCTTCTTCATGCTCCCAGGACTCCTTATAGGAGCTAAGCTACTTCTCTCTGACCTTCTTATGTCTCCAGGACCCCATCCTGTTCTCGGGCACCCTGCGCATGAACCTAGATCCCTTTGGCCGTTACTCGGAGGAGGACATCTGGAGGGCCCTGGAGCTATCCCACCTGAACACATTTGTGAGCAGTCAACCAGCAGGCCTGGATTTCCAGTGTGCCGAGGGTGGGGATAATCTCAGGTAGGTGTGGGAGCGGACATGTCAGGAATGCTGCCCCACACTGGGGACCACTGATCCACACAGGCATGCCCCTCAGCCAGAGTTGCACAGGGGTGTTATTTTGTCTAAAATACATTCTCAGCAGGCACAGGGTGCCTCCCCACAGGCTCTTCACGCAAGCCTCACTTTGCAGTTTAGGAAACAAACTCAGAGTGGGCAGGGGGTTAGTCAAAGTTGCACAGCTGAGAGAAGGCATGCCTGGGATTTGAACCAGCTCTGGATCTCATCTAATTCGACCCCAGTGACATTCAGACAAAATACTCCCACCCTTGCTGGAATCTTCTGGGCTCCAGGGTCCTGTACCTGTGGATCGAATAAAAAGAAGGGCACGCTCTTTTAGAAAGATAAAGCTAGGGCTGGAGAGATGGCTCAGTGGTTAAGAGCACTGACTGCTCTTCCAGAGGTCCTGAGTTCAAACCCCAGCAACCACATGGTGGCTCACAACCATCTGCAATGGAATCTAACACCTTCTTCTGGTGTGTCTGAAGATAGCTACAGTATACTCATATACATAAAATATATATATATCTTTAAAAATAAAGATTTATAAAAAAAAAGGCTTCTTTAAAAAATAAAAAAGAGCCAGGCAGTGGTGGCGCACGCCTTTAATCCCAGCACTTGGGAGGCAGAGGCAGTCGGATTTCTGAGTTCGAGGCCAGCCTGGTCTACACAGTGAGTTCCAGGACAGCCAGGGCTACACAGAGAAACCCTGTCTCTAAAAACCAAAAAAAAAAAAAAAAAAAGAAAAAAAGAAAGAAAGAAAGAAAGAAAGAAAGAAAGAAAGAGAGAAAGGAAGAAAGAAAGATAAAGCTATTTGCCAGGATGGAGGGGTCATCTCAGGACTGTACAGAGTGGGTGCCCTCTGCATTTCCTGTAACCTCCCTACCCCCTACCCTCAGGTCCCATAGCCCAAGCCCCAGGGCTGTGTGTTCCAGGAATCAGCAGTTTGTTCTTACTGAGTTCAAAGCCTTAAGATACCTAGATTTTCTTTTGTATTTTGTTTGAGTTTCTTCATTTCTGGTGCTAGATTCACAAATGCTAGGCAAGCTCTTTACTGCTAAGCCATATTTCTAGCCCTTGCTGTGTGATTTGGGGCAAGTTGCTTAACCATTCCGTCTCTCTTACATTCACAATAAAATAGGGATGATAATAAGCTATGTCCGCTCGATTTGCGCTCCCTGGTAATAATATGAGAACTAGAGAGATGGCTCAGCAGTTAAGAGCACTACCTGCTCTTCCAGAGGACCCAGGTTCAATTCCCAATGACTACACAGCAGCTGTAACTCCTATTCCTGGGTATCTACCCTGCTCTTCTAGCTTTACTGGGTACTGCACACATGTTGTACATAGACATGCAGGCAGGCAAAATACCTATATAAATAAAGTAATAAATAACATAGATATATATAATACAAGCCATATTTTTTTTTCTAGTAAACACATTAATGGGCAGCATAGGTTGTCTTAGTTACAATTTCTATTGCTGTGAAGAGACACCATGACCACGACAACTCTTATAAAGGCAAACATTTAATTGGGGCTGGCTTCCAGTTTCAGAGGTTCAGTCCATTATCACACACCAGGAAACATGGCAGCGTGCAGGCAGGCATGGTGAAGGAGGAGCCAAGAGTTCAACATCTTGATCCACAGGCAGCCAGCAGGAGACTGTCCTCTACACTGGGCATGGTTTGAACATTTATAATCTCAAATTCTGCCCCAACAGTGACTCACTTACTCCAACAAGGCCACACCACCTAACAGTGCCCCTCCCTATGGGCCAACCATTCAAACACATAAACTCCTGGGGGCCATGCCTATTCAAACCACCACAATGGTGATACCCCTTCTCAAAAGAGGTACAGGCTGATGACACAGCTCAGTGGGGGAAAGGTGCTTGTCACACAAACCTGGTGACCAGAAAAGAAGAGAATTGACTCTACAGAGTTGTCCTTTGACCTCAACACTTGCCTACACACAGCTTATATGCACATAAATACACAGACACACAAACACATACATATACAATAATTATGCTGATGAAAACAAGAGAGGCAAACAAACAAGAACACACAGGTGAGTTAATTAACTAATTTGGGGTGGCTTAGTGGTTAAGAACACCTGCTGCTCTTTCAGAGGACCAGAGTCTACTTCTCAGCACTGACATCAGATGGCTCATCACTCCCTGAGAATCCAGCTCCAAGGGACCCAGTGCCCTCTTTGGCCTCCACAGGATCGATCTCTCTCTCTCTCTCTCTCTTTCTCTCTCTCTCTCTCTCTCTCTCTCTCTCTCTCTCTCTCTCTTACACACACACACACACAAATACATCTTTTAAAATTTTAATTTGCTTACCTTATTTTTTTTTGAGACAGACTCACAGCGTAGTTCAGACTAGCCTAGAACTCAGAATTATAGGGCTGCACCACCATACCCAATAGAATAAAATATTTTTAAAATTGTAAGTATTCGTTTAGTGATACTCAGGTGTAGGATGGGATGGCATACAGGAGCCAGTTCTCTCCTTCTAAGATGTGGGTCGTGGGGATCAAAGTCAGATCATCAGTCCCAGTGGCCAGCACCTTTATCCGCTTAGCCGTGTGACTCAGTGGTTCTCAGCCTTCCTAACACTACCTCCTTTTAATATAGTTCCTCACGTTGCGGTGGCCCTCAATCATAAAATTATTTTTGTTGCTACTTCATAATAAACCCTTGCTATTATAAATCAAAATGTAAATATCTGATATGAAGGATAACTGATATGCAACCCCCAAAGTGATTGCAACTCACAGGTTGAGAACACTGACCTAACTAAACAGGCCCTGGAATAAATTCTAATAGCACATTTTATTCAGGCTAATGTATCTAAAATAACATTCATTGTGCCATCAGTATAAAAGCTATTAGGTGATATGTGCTTATCATTCCAGACCTTGGGAGGCTGAAACAGGAAGAGTACCTTAAACTTAAAGCCACTCTGGGCTACATGATGAGTCCTTGTCTCAAAAAAAAAAAAAAAGGAAGTTATTATAGATATTTTGCATTTTGCAGGTTTTTTTTTTTACAGTTTAGAATACTATATGTATTTTCCATTTTCTTGGTTTGTTATTGTTGTTTTTGTTTGATTTTTGAGATAAGACCTCTCTATGTAAGTAGCCCTGGCTGTCCTAAAATTTGCTATGTAGACCAGGCTAGACTAAAACTCACAGAGCAATCTCGCCTCTGCTTCTATCTCTCTGTTTCTCTC